AGAGAGGAGAGTCAAATATAATTTCATTCTCATCCTGTTATTTATCTCTCAGTGTTCAGTACACTTCTATGAACTTCATCACACACTGCTGCCCCCCAGTGAGCAAATAAAGACAATCATCTGTACTGATTCTAAAGTAATAGTTCATACTCTGCTTGATTATTATTCAAATTATTTTATATAAAAATAAATCCATTATTGTAGTTTCAGCTCATCTCTTCGTGTTTTATCCCACTAGCAACTAATAACCATCTCAGACCAACAGCCAGATCTAAAAAATGCATTTTTCAGCTCTGTTCTCTTCTTCTACCTGCTGTCACTGCAGTCTTGTAGAAGAGTAGAGGCTGCATAGTGGACTAAACAGAAATAAATAACAATAAAAAAAAACTAAAAACAGAATCTAAAAGCTTCAAAGCTTTAATTTAGAGTGCTTTCACATCACACTATTCAGAGTAATAAGAAATATAAAACAATAATACAAAACCACAATGTGAGCCAAGATAAAAGAAGCTGAAGTATATAAGCAAATACCAATGACCAATTACAATAAAGGTCTAAAAGATTAATAGTGCAAATAGAATCTTAGACATCTAAAAACTATGATTAGTCGACTAGTCGAGGAAACAGCCTGAATACAGAAAATGCTGATAAAAATTGTCAAAATCCCAGTTTACATGTTTATTTAGTCCTTTAGTGTTTCTTTTTATCAATAAAATCATTATTTTTTAATAATAGTCATTATTTGTACACAGAAAACTGTATGATTTTTACACAATAAATATTGTATACAGTTTGTTTACTTGTGTTTTTCAGTGTTGTTGTTCTTCACAGAGTGGTCTAAAGAGTAAAGAGGGAGATAAACAACTGAACAACTAATGTAGATCATCCGTATAGAAATGAAACCAAACAAATGATAATTAACATGTCTATATATGTATATCTAAATAAAGTAAATGCTCTTTACATTAATATTAAAAGATTTGGCTGAAAATTATGCTTTTATAAGAGAACTTTCCTTGTTTTGTCCATTAAAATGTACATGTTATAAATCTGACTTTAATATTTGAATTGAAATAAAGCAGAATTTTAAAGTAGAAGGGAACATGTTTCTATGTTACAGTGAAGCTGTTACTCACTACGCGTCTTCACTGAAATGGATGATCCACAATGCTTGATGTTACAGGAGGTAACTGACACTGAGGCCTTATGTTGGTGCTTTATGGTGGGGCTGCTGTACCCAAGCTTGATTACTGTCTGTATGAATGTATGTAGTTTCTAATGTCTGATCTCTGTTTGTTCCGACACATCGTACAAATAAGACAGACTGAAAACAGATTTCCTCTTTGGAGGACAATAAAGAATCTAATCTAATCTAATCTCTCTAACCATCACTGATAGAGGCCTTGATCTCACCATAAAGCAGGAAAGACTTCTCAGCTCCATCTTGTGGATGAAGAAAACAATTCATTTGGGTTTCCTATTAATTACCATTGAGTTTAGAAAACATCAATAATTAAAAAGTGAATTATTTATACTATGTATGATTTTATCCTCCTGCCCCCAATAATTACATTCATATTTACAGAAAGTAGAAGCAGCAGAACAGTCTTTGTCTCATCTTATGTTCCAGCACAGTCATTAACCAGTGAAGACATTTTTAATCCACTCACCAACATGCAGACAAAAAGAGGAAGACACTGCATTCATTTCCACACACTGACAACTGAATATCATTTAATACACAATACATCATTATTTCAGACAGTTTGTTTACGTTCCTTTTTCAGTGCTGTCGTTCTTCAGAGTGCGGACTCTGATAAAGAGGGAGGTCAAAAGTGCTGTTAGTGATATTTAGATATACATATGAAAAACTGGATTCATAACTGGAATAGTTGTATAAGCTTATATAATATCTGAAATAAGACAGTTATGGCTGATTTTAACATCATCATATCTTAATAAAAGTTCATTTATTTACAAGCAGTATTAACTGTTGCACTATGATGGACGTGCAGACACATCACTGTAACAAAGAACGACAGTCAGTCAGTATCTATGTATGTTTATCTATGATGTAGTGCATCGTTAGCTTTTCTCTGACACAGTGACTGTAGGACTTTTTAAGGTGGAGCTACAAAGGAGCCATAATGACTGTTTTGGGGCAAATAAATACCTTTAAATTCAGATGTCAAGAATTGATTTCACTGTTAAGTAAAAGTCGTGACAAAAGTGATAAACTATGACAAAACTATGAGAATAAATGAAGAATAATGTAAATAAATACATTTATGACTGTCTTACATCATCTCATGTTTTCCATTTATACAGACTGATCAAACGCATTTCCTCTAACATCATATTCAGACTGCTGAGAGGATCAGAGGACTTTATTAATTAAACCATAATTAAAGATATCAGTAAAGGTCTGTTTTTGGATCCAGTTACTCTAAAACCTTTTTTACAACAACATTGCTATTAAAAGTATTTTCATGTCAATATTGTTTTAATCAATCACTTCACCTCAAAAACCCCTCAAAGCAGCATTTGTTTATTTTGGGGAACATTGTTGAAGTGAAAGAGTCTCCAGATCAGCTCTGCATCATTATGTGTGTTGATTTATTGATTATTGATCAGAGCTGTTTACTGAGCTTAAAGATGATGAATTTATCTCAGACTCCAACAGGTTCACTTTCCTGGAGCTGTCCAGAGTGCTGAACTCCATCGCCTCTTACTGGACATGTTGTTCATTTCTTCATTCTTATTTTCTTTCTTTCTTTATTTATACAGTCCAAAAAGAACTTCATTTGTTGGAAATGTAAGTTTAATGCAGCACAACCAGTAATAATGAACTAAACAGCTAAACAGAGGATCATCCAGGATCTTCTGAGACAGTGAAACTCATCTCTGCAGGTGTTGGTCAGATGTCAGTCATCGTCTCCAGCAGGTCCAGAATCTCTGCAGAGCAGAAAAGATCCTCTTCAGATGACGACAGTCATATTCTGACTCTTTAATGACCTCGTAACTCAGAGGATCCAGCGATATTTGAGAGCAAATCCTTATAGGACAAAACGTATCAGCTTTCGTATATTTTTATCATCACAGGACGCAACAGAGGCAATTTTCACAAAGTCCATTCTTTCTTCTCATATAGAAGTTCCTTTTAGACCCAGATTTCTGTATCTGGGCATAAGAGCGTGGCGCTGACTACAGAATGATGACACAACTTCAGCGCTCTAGTAACTTGCCATTATCACTGGAAATTATCTCTATCAACAAAATTGAAGCCAAACATGATATTAAATGATAAAAAAGTTCTGAGAGCTGAGATGATCACAGTCTGCTCTGCTAGTGAACATTCACACATCTTTCTGTGAAAGGAACAAGGTTTACATTAAACTACATCCATTTCATGATTAGATGATTATATGAGGTTTCCTAGTTTATCTGTTTTCAGTGAAGTAGTTTAGAATCCCTGAAAGGCTGAAAGGCTCTGCAGAGTTTGTTACTGTTTAATGAGGTTTTTCTGTTTGGCCTTTAAAAATACAGATTATTTAATTAAGAGTCAAACTTTTTTGTAACTTTTGTGTCTTATTCTTTTATGTAAAGTTTCAAATAAAATAATAAAATCCACAAGCAAAATTTGAAATATTAAAATGTCCAAAATATTTTACAAATACAAATAATGAGAGTTAAATCAAGCTTAACTTTTCAAAGAGATTACTTATTTTCACTCATTCTGATATAGATGTGTTGCTCATTTTAAAGGTTTTTGCTTTAATTTTTTCTGCTTGTTTTTGTCGGTTTTATGATGAAAAACAGCGAAACCCGAACTGTTGGGCAACAAGAGTTACACTGAATATATATTATCGTTGTCATACTGAAAATAAGGTAATTAAATATGGAAACTTTCAAAATAAAACCACAACGATAAAATATGAATGACGGGTTTATTTGCAGAAAAAAATAACAGGCTACTGCTGAAACTCATGAAAGCCATGCTGAAGACCATTAGAACTGTTAGGAATAAAACTTGATGATATTGCTTCCTAATGGGACTTGGAAGACCATTAGAGACCATTAAAAACGAACAAGTGTGAAATGATTTGATTCCTTTACACTGTGATATCAGCCCACCAGGAAAACACAGAATAGCATTAGCAACTACTGAAAACCACCAGGAACCAACAGACACTTTTAATAGATTCTATGACTTTTTTGATCAGGGAGGTACACTAAATGTAACTCTCTCGCCGTGTTACACAAGTATAAACTTGTGTAACATTAATATTTTAAAAGGAATTTGATAAACATTGCTCATAATGTTTATGCCAGGATAAGCTAGTAAAACGCTGCACTCATAGCAGCACTCAGTACAAAGTGTTCTGCCATGCTGAGGGCGGTTCATGCTGAGTGGCTACATGTTCAGAAAACGTGTGACTCCAAATCAGTTGACCAATAGAGAGCGCAGGTGAATGCCCTCTTCTAAGACCCACCCCCTGCTAAAAGGTGCCAAAAGTCAGAAGCAAAAAATATATCATAAAATAGAAATCAGCAAATAGAAACAAGTTAAAGCAAAAACTGACAAAATGAGTAACACATTTATATCTGAATGAGTGAAAATGAGTAGTAATCTTCTTAAAAAGTGAAGTTTGATTCAACTCTCATTGTTTGTATTTGCAACATATTTTAGGCATTTTAATTTTGATTTTAATATTTTGTTTGAAACATTTGGCACAAAATTAACTCCATGATGTAAAGTCTTCTCAGTGTAAGTAAATAAATAAACATGTAAAGCACAAAATAATACCATCATCATTGTCATCTTGATTTTTTTTCAAGAAGCCGTCTGTTTAATGTAGATTAACTGGTGATTATTTTGCAGAGTTTATTGCAGCCCAAATTACCTCCATTTAACACGATCACTCAGATGCTTGTGAAGGTTTGATCAGCGACATCAGTTTTGTGCATTTAGTTCATAAATAATGAACCCAGTGCAGAAATGTGGATATTTCTGATGTTTAATCTGCTTTTCTCTGTTAATAACGTTATTTCTCAGTGGATGCTCAGATGAAAGATACTGCCCTAATGAGGACACAAGTGGCTTACAATTGGCCTCTGCTTGTGAATCATTTAAAAAGTTCTGGATAAAAGAGCCCTTAATTCAAGTCTAATTGATCGGACTGTGAATCTGAAGGAAAGCTGTGAAAATGAAGACTAACGATCATTTTAAGGAAATTAGAAATAAAGTTATAGACATGGTCACTAAATAATATCCAAGTGTTTGGAACCCTTTGAGGACTGTTGGATCAACTCTGAGCAAATGGAAGCTGCATCATACCACCGAGGCACTGCCTAGACAAGGCCGTCCCTCAAAACTCAGCATCAGAACATGAAAAGGACTCGGAGGGATCCCACAGAAAGGCCAACAATCACTCTGAAGGAGCTACAGAGCTCAGTGGCTGAGACTGGAGTGAATGTGCACCAGGAAACGATATCAAGAGCTTTGCATATAACTGGCCTGTATGAGAGGGTGGCTAGAAGGAAAACTAAATTAAACTAAAAAAGAAAAAAATAAATTACAGCACGTCTGGACTCAGCTAACATGTGGGATAAGGTTTTGTGTATGTATGGCCAAAATTCAAAATGCTATGTTTGGTGCAAGCCTAACACTGTTCACTCCTCAACAAACACCATCAGCTGTGAGGAGCATCATGTTGTGGAGAAGCTTTTCTCAGTGGGGACTGGGCATCTTGTTAAAACTGATGGACATACGGATGGTGCAAAATACAGAGAGATACTGCAAGACAACCTGTTTCAGTCTGACATAAAACTAAAGCTTGGGAGAATGTTCTGCAATGGTCAGGTTCAATCAAATTGAGAATCTATGGCACTATCTGAAAACTGCAGTCCTCAAGGACCATCCGACAAACCTGAACAACATGGAGCAAAAAAAATCTCTCCCAAACAGTGTGCAGAGCTGGTGGGAACCTGTTAATGCAGCAGAAGGTGGTTCTATCAAGTACAAGTCTGAAGGGATTGTCCTTCATGTAGGCCTCTTTAGGTCCTGCCAGAATGTGATCAGCTGCTGTGGGGAGTTAAGGATGGTGGTGATCACACTGGCAAACTCTTCTCGTTTATAATTACCACTAAAATAGTCCTTAAACTGGGAGGGATTGGGAGGGTCTGATGGTGAAATTCCTATTCTTTTCAGACAGGCACCCACGTATGCATCCTCTACGTTAAATGGCTTTATTTCTTTTGAAACCTCAACAATCTTCTCTGAAAGATCATTGGAGAAGACATAACCCATCCCCAGCAGGTATGTTGGATAGTAGTCTTCAGCATATAATTCCTTTGGCACGTACCACTTGGAGTTCTTGTCACGGATGACCGGTCTGTTCCACATAACCTCTCCCGTCATGTAGTTTTCTTTAGGAGTATCAGGTCTCAGTAACAAGTTCATCAAGTTCTCCAGATTCAAGAACATGTCAGAGTCTATCTTCATAGCGTAGGATGCCTGTGGGCAGTGTGTGGCCAGCCAGTCCATGATTACCATGGTCTTTATTGTCAAGTTGAGGTACGAGTCCATGAAGTCACTCTGGACCAGGTCATGGTACTGCTGGCTTTCCAGCCTTAGTTCCTCCTGTTGTTTCTCAGCCTCGATCCCAGGCAGACCCAGCGAGAAGATCACCGTGATGGTTTTGTTTTGGACCATGCTTTCATTACCCCATGTGCTCCGGATGGCGTTGCGAGCCTCCAGTTGGTGTGGAGCCACTGGAACCATGAGGACTAGAAATGGGTTCTCTTGTTCACACTTATGGGGCTCGTCTATGATGAAGCGGTAGTTGTGTGGATGCGCTTCATGGTAACGGATGGACGATGTTTCTTTTACTGAAACAGCTGTTATGAACTCCATACTGAGCGTGTCTGTCGCGTTATGTCTGTTCACTGTAGTTACTGCTGTGTGTTTGGCATCAGACGTCTGTTGGTTGACATCGGTTTTGTTGTCTCTTTTGAGGGAGTTCATATTTATTAGTGTGTGATTTTTGGCTGTTTGGAACATGGTTAACTTGCTGAAATTGCTGAACCACACTGTGGACGATATAGAGCGGATGCCAAACACATACATAGTGACAGACACAATGAAGGATATCGACAGCAATAATATGAAGCATCTCTGAAAATGGAACCTGCTGAGGCTGAAGGCGGCCATTTTCTGGGCTGGACTAAAAGAAAAAAGAAAGAGAGAATTAATCATAATGAAGCACAATTTTTCTTGAAGTAAAACCTCCTTTTATTTGGATACTGTTTTTATTTGCTGACTCTAAACACAAATACAGAAATTTAGAACCTAATATGGGCAAACTGTCCACCTTTCTAATAGTCTAGCGCACTGTGCCAGAGGGGTTGTCCTCCAGGTAGGCAGCACCATGCAGCTGGGGTCATAGACAGACTTTTGTTAGTAGTGAAAAAAGCCCCATTTATTACTGCAGTTCTATCTATTAACAACATTTGCGACCAGAGATTTTTCAAAAAAGACCTTGCTGACCACATCATCCTCATATGGATTTTAGATAGTGTTTGTCTGAACAACTATTCCAGATCAAAACGCTGCATGTCTGTTACAATAACAATGGGCCTCATTCACCAACTGTTCCTAAGAAGAAATTTCTTCTTAAAACCCACTTGAACAGTTTTTATGAAGATTCTGACATTCACCAGTGTTTTCCTTTTTGGGATTTGTTCTTAGGTAAGAACAGAATATACATACACTCAAGGGGCTAAGGTGCGAACAGTTCTGTGGTTTAAGAACACATCATGAATCTGACAAAGACTTTTTCTTTTCTCAAGGACAAATTTAAGAAAAAACTTAAGAAGATATTGGTGAATGAGGCTCATTGTGTGTTGGAGCTTAATTATACCGGCCCTAATTTTGCAGAGAAGAACTCAATTTCTGAAACATTCCTATCATCATCTAGCTCGTCATCTTCTTTATACATATGTGTTTATACATACCTCTTAGACCTGTGCAAAACCAACCAAAGGAAAATCTGTTTTCTGTGAGTAATTATTTTGTCAACTCTCCCCCCAGTTCTGATAAATCACGCATCCTCTTCAACATCTTATGCCTCGCTGGTAAAGCCTTAGACTGGGCTACCGCTGTTTGGTCATGTGTTCAATCTGGTACCTACAAGTTCTCATTGAAGGAGTTCAATTCTGTGTTTGACCGTCCTCATGAGAGATGCTCACGGGGAAAACTACTTCCTATTTTTTGCCAGGCTAGTCACTGTTTCAGATTATACTCTTGAAATCTGTACATTGGCCGCTGGCAGCGGATGGAATGAACATATACTAGTTACCTTTCATAACGATTTAAATTCTAATATACTTGCTGAAACAGCCTGGTCAATGTCCATGAGGCCAATCAAGTTCCATTAGGTACCCCACAAGTCTGCCTCATAGTTCCAGAGATCCAAATGATGTGACCCAAAGAACTCACGGTAATCATGAGTCTTCTGAAGCCATGCAATGTGACGTGCGCCGCCTTTCCAAAGAAGAAAAGCTTTGCCGGTTACAAAAGGGTCAGTGCTTGTACTGCGGTGCAGCTGGTCACGTTCTATAAGACTGCTGGATCCGCCCACGCAGACCTCAGCTGCCAACCTCGGGAGAGCTTTTACCACAACGGGGTTGGTTTCAAAGTCATTTAAATTACCAGTAACTTTATTCTGCCTAAGTTCCTCTTTTGTGTTTCCAGCTTTCTTTTCATTTCTTGGACAGAGAACTGTTATCTTGGTCTCCCTTTTGTTTAGAACATTGTTTACAACTCCCCAATATAGCAATGCAGTCACGATCCATTGAAAGTCCAGACACTTCCATGCCAGTCAACATTGCCCCAGAATACGCTGACTTAATCAAAATCTTTAGTAATAAAAAAGGCTACAACCTTTCCTCCACACCACGACTATGACTGTGCTACTGATTTAGTTGAGGGTGCTACTCCTCCCAGGTCTAGAATTTATCCTCTTACTTAGGCAGAAGAGTTGACCATGAAGGAATATGTTAAAGAGGCTCTTCAACAAGAGTTTATCCATCCCCCCACTCCTTCAGTTAGCGCTGTTTTGTCAAAAAGAAGGATGGTGGGTTAAGACCTTCTCTATTGTGGTTTGAATTCCATTATGAAACCATACCTATATTCTCTACCATTAGTCTCAGTATCCTTGGAACAACTGCAAGGCGCTTTTGTGTTCACTAAATTGGACCTCAGGAGCACCTATAATCTAGTTAGGATCAAGCAGGGGGATGACCGGAAAACAGCATTTTTCCACACTAGCGGGCACTATGAGTGCTGTCATGCCATTTGGTTGGCTTTCATGTCTGCCCCAGTCTTGAAACATCCTGATCCCACTCAGCCCTTTGTAGTTGAGGTCAGTGCTTCTGATGTGGGTGTTGATGCAGTGCTTAGGTTATCAACCTCCTCTCATGCTGTGGACAGCTACTCTATCAGGGGTTCCATCCATTGATGACTGGATGACGAGAAGTAAGCAGGTGTGGGAGGAGACACACCAACGTATTGAAAATGTCCTTCACAGACAGAAACGTCGTGCTGACAGACGTAGGGGTGACATGCCTGTCTTTCTCCCCGGGGAACAGGTATGGCTCTCGACCAGGGATTTCAGCTTTGCTGAGGGAAGTAGGAAATTACAACAAGTATATTGATCCATTCAAAGTCAGCAGAAGAATTAACCAGGTTACTTATAAACTTGAGTTGCCCACAATGCATCTGGTTCTGATGTCAGTCACAAACCTGCCATCAACCAATCATGGACAATTACACAGATCCTCCTCTCCTGAATTCTAATCAGTCACCTGTTCTTATTAGTTCTGTTTGTATATATACTGGTTCATTTTGTTCACTCATTGTGAAGTATTGCCAATTGCCCTGTCTATTGCTTACTAAGCATTCTTTCTGTTTTGTCTATGGTGTTTTTTTACCCTTTTTTGGCCCTCATTTACCCTGTTGGATTTTCCTGTGTACTTTGATGGTTTTGGTGTTTGTTTCTTGGGCTGCTGACCCTCGCTTGTTTGTGGACTCAGAACTCCTGATGTACCTGATTGTTGCTCTCTGGTTCTGGCCTGGATTACTGACTACCCCCTTGCTTTGCCCTATTATCAATAAAGCTCACTTATTTTACTATTTTACTTCTTTTACTGGTTCGTCTGCTTAACGTGACAGTTGTCAGCTTACATATATTTTCATAAATTGTTAGTGTCTGTGATCTGAATTGTAATGATGGGTTAATCTATTGCTTATTACTCAGTAAAAAAAAATAATAATACAAGGCAGCCATGTTTTTTATTAGGGATGCATCGATACAGATACTGGTATCAAGTATCTGTCCGATATTGTGCTCATTTGCTCGTACTCAAAAATTCACTGATTCTGATACCAGCTAATGCCGTGTGATGTAAACCAAGTATACATGAACAAACACAGTGAATGAGGCTCTGATAACAGAGAAGTGTTACTGACTCCATGACAGTCAGACAAAAAGTTGTTGGTCACTTTAAACATTCTGCTTTAGCAGATTCCCGCCGGACATACAGTGTGTGATTTTAGTGCATTTTTCCCCAAAACGGGTGGAGATGTTTGGCTAGCAAAACAGCGATGTAAGGATGATGCAGTCAGCATGATACTGGACAGCCATGTCAAATATGCCTGATATTGTTTGTGGACTTTAGCCATGATTGGTCAAAAATCAAATTAGCACATGTAGTCAGCCAGGATTAAACCTTTTCTATTACTGATCTGTTACAGAGACAGACAAAAATGAAAGAACAGAGTGTGAAAATATTATGTTCAAAAGATAAAGAAATAGTTCTAACGTTCAGAAATAATGCAAATATGATGTTAATATTTCTTCAATTTCATATAAATGTTGCATTTTTCAGTAAAGCTACATGAACCTTGCTCGAAAATACTGGCATAATCGTGACATTTCATATGCTGTCATGAGCTGTTATGAGCTGTTGTCAAGGCAGAGAGGTCAGAACTTATGCTTGGTGAGAAAACACCATGGTGAGCAACACAGTGCAATGCAATTGAGTAGCTTGAGGAGGAGATGGCGTGCTGAGCAGGCCCCGAGCAAGTGACAGTGGAGCAACCATAGACGTGCATACCTAGATGCCACGTTGCCTGTTGTTCTCTATCTGAGGTGATACATCTGCACGTCCGCCATGTTGGAGCGGTCAAGATCCACAAATTCACTTGTATTGTGAGGTGATGAGTCTCAGGATTAAACCTGCCACAACTTCCTTATTACTCAACCGATTCAAACATTCAAAAATTCAAACAAGAAGCTGCCAAATAAGAAGCTGTAACTTCAGGTTTGTGTAAGAAGGTTCTAACGTTAATCCATTATGAATATCTACACGGATTAAGGAATGCTATAACTTACCGCTCTTTACCATCTTTGTAAATAAATAACTACTACATAAAGTTAAGATCCCCTGAATAGACTTTTAAATGAAATAAGCAAAGTATAAAAACAGAGGAGAGCAATCACATCAACAGGTTCTCTGTGCATCGCCAACCACACGACTACATCTACACATAAACAATACGCATCACACAATCATGAGTGTGGATCGCTGTGTTCCCTCCGTTATATAATCCTGTCCCACTTTCTGAGTTCACTTTTCTTGAAATAGTATAATTTGGACAGTATCTCTCTTGAACTGCTGCTCTATAATGGTACTGAATGCAGTCCAGCAGTGATGCTGACCGCCCCAAAATGGCGCGCCGTTGATGTACCTGGCTGGACCCAACGTGGCATCTAGGTATGTATGTCTTTTGGAACGACTGGTATGCTGATGGTGCAGTAGGTGGGGACACTACGCCAATGTTAGAAACCTGAGCCAGCTTGGAAACAAATACCAGCCATAATGCCAGGCAACCACTTGCAGCTGTGTGGAGTACAGTTCCCACATGTTCTCACTATTAAAGTGTAGTAAATGCTTCAAAGGTGAGGGTGCCTGGGAGCCGTACTCCACACAGCTGCTAGTGCTCACCTGGCATTGTGGCCTTTTCATTAAATAGTCTTATCTAAGTTTGTTAATAAAGAATAATATAGCAGGATAATTCCTGTTATAGTCACAGCTGCTCATCAGAAGCAGAATAATCCTACCTGAAATACACAGCAGGGTGATGAGTGATAACATCCCACATTCAGAGCTCATGATCCCACTTTTACTGTGAAATAAAGACACAGAATGAAGTCTTTGTGTAGTTCAACACATTAATGTAACAATCTAAACATCAGATACTCCATTTGCTTCTTACTGTGGGAACGGAAACTCTACTTTGTGGCTTTAACATTTTCACCATGTCCACTGTTATACTCTGATAGTGGAGCTCACAGTTACAGTAATATATTAATAGATCAGAGAAAATCTTTACTACTTACATTCTCCAGTAAAGACCTTTCACAGCTGTGTAACTTCATGGACAGTGCAGAGTGTGAGAACAGAGTGTGTGTGAGGGGTGGGATGAGTAAATGTTGTGTTTAAGATGGGGGTTTTATCAACACTGTTTTCCTTCCTTTTTTTCTGCAGTCAGTCAAAATCAACAATCATCCTGACAGCACTTTATATCTGTCATTTATTTATTTACTGTTTTAACAGTTACCCATTTTAGTCTGAACATGCAGACAGATATACAGATTAAATACACTAATGCAGTAGTGATAATAAACTCATATGTAGTTTAAAATCTTCCACATAAACCACATGATCCCAATTTGCCAAAACAGGAACACTCACAGTAGTGGGAGGAGCTTTATGGTCCATCATCAAACTGTGGGGTCTGAGTTTGATGCAAAGAGCCTTCAGCCACACACACACACACACACACACACACACACACACACACACGCACAAAATGGGCATCTTGTTATGTTAGAGAACTCCAGTAGAGATTCACTCATTCAGAATGTGTTAGTTATATAAAGATATAAGATTGTGTTTGATGTTCATTTCAGTCTGTGTGGCTGTAAAGTACAGTAGTGAATTAAGTGAAACTTAAAGGTAAAAATTTAAAGAATTGTACAAGAGAATTATATTCAATTCAAAATGTATTTTTAGGCATTTGCATAAAGCAGCTTAAACTCCTTAGGAGCAAGAGGAAGAAATGCTGAGAGGAACAGAGACTCGAAAGAGGAACTGATCCTCCTCTGGTCGACACTGGATAGCAAAACAACAAGAGTGACATGAATAAAAATAAAGATTTTACAATGAATATAGAATAAAAAAAGGAATGAGTCATTTAGTCTTTTAGATCAACCAATGATAACCGATGACAACGACTGTTTGAAGCCTATCAGGGTAACAGATGAGAAATAGAGCGCTGTGAAAAAGTATTTGTCCCTTTGTCACATTTAAGTGTTTCAGATCATCCAACTAATGTTAATGTAAGACAAAGACAACAGTGAACACAAAATGCAGCTTTTAAATGATCATTACATTTATTGAAGACAAAGATTTATTCAAAACCTATATCACCCATGTGAAAAAGTAATTACCCCCCTAAACCTAATAACTGGATGTGCCACCCTTGTCAGTAACAGCTGCAATCAAACATCTGTGATAACTTGCAAGGAGTCTTTTACATCACTATGAAGGGTTTCTGGCCCACTTTTCTTTGCAGATTTAAAAAAAAATCTGCTGCATTGCAGGGGTTTTCGAGCATGAACTGCCCATTTTAGGTCTTGCCACAGCATCTCAATGGGATTCAAGTCAAGACTCTGACTCGGCCACTCCAAAACCTTAATTTGTTTCTCTCGAGCTGTTCAGAGGTGGACTTGCTTGCATGTTTTGATTCATTGTCTTACTGCATAACCGAACTGTGTTTGGTTCACAAACTGACAGGCAGACATTCTCCTTCAGGATTTTCTGATAGAGAGCAGAATTCATGGTTTCATTTTATGACCAGAAAATTGAACCCAACAGTCAACTGAATTTGGTTACCTGGTTGATTTAGTAGCTAAGGGGCAATTATTATTTCACATAGGGCCAGGTAGGGCTGAACAACATGTTTCCTTCAATAAATGAAATCATCATTTAAAAACAGCTTTTTTTTGTTTATTTGGGTTTTCTTTGTCTGATATTAAAAGCACGTTGATGATCTGAAACTTTAAAGTGTGACAAATAGGCAAAAATAGAAGATCTTGGGAATAATCTGTTATTATTATTATTATTATTATTATTACTAGTAGTAGTGTTATTATTATTATTATTATTATTATTATTATTATTATTATATCTGGATTTAAGGTGCAAGAGCAAACACAGCAAGATTTTTTTTTATGATATCAGCAATAAATTTGATGCAAAAGTGTAATAATGTATTTAGATATTTCCGCACATATTGGCCCTGATGGCTTCACATAGCCAAAGATCATCATTTCTGTTCTGAACAGGCTACTGGAGAGAGAAACTAACAAGGCTTTGACTGAGAGTGAGCAGTAAAGAGGATATTTTCAGATAATCTGCTTCTGTTTCTGATGAAATCTCATCTTCCTGTTTCACCATCACTGCTGCTTTATGAAACATCTATCAGAACAGAAATCAGTTCAGTTCTGCTTCACTCTGCTCTCTTATTAGATGTTAAAAAGCATGAAGAGGCCTAAATCTTAAATACCAGTTACTACAGTTTACCTCATAAGTGAGACTGTCTGCCTGTGAATCACTGCTATTACAGGTTCTGTGTACATTTATCAAGAACTGAAGAACAAAAACACGACTGTTCAGATAAAAACATAAAGACTAAAAGACTCATCTCAGGAGTTCAGGGTGTGTAATTAAGTATGAAAGTAGAATTATTGTCTCTAAATAACATCTTTCTCTGATTTTACTGCTGAATATTCCAGGCTGAATCATTATTGGGTCTTGATATGATATTGTAGTGACCTGCTTTGCATATGATGATCAGACAAACTCCAGCTCAACTCTCACAGTAAGAGACCTGATTGAGACTCAGGAGAAAATGAGAAATATCTCATATATTAAAGATAATGAAATAAAACTATGAAAAGCTCTTCAGGAAGTTTCTCTGTGTAATTTGGTGGATGATGTTTCTTGTACTGGAATGTTCAGTGTGGTGTTTTATCAGCACAGCTGATCTGCACTGTTAGCCCCCCAAAGCCCCCTCTGATTCAGTGTCTCTCTTCACACCAGCTCTGTGTGTGTGCTCAGTGAGCTTCTGTGAGCTTCAGCACACAAACTGCTGCCACCCAGTGACTAAATGATGTTATTACACCTACAGTAATTTTAAACACTTTAATGTTGTACATTTGGCTCATTGGAGAAAACATTGCCCATCCGGTATCAGACTTGGCTGAGGGGCTGGAGCTGAAAAAAAAATCTAAATGTGAAAAAGCATCCACACACTCATATCTGTGCAATAAATAAATAAATAAAAATGTAAAAATTGCACAGATTTTTGATTGAGTGAGTTAAAAGCCAGGTCTATAAGGTTTTCTTATTAACATTTATAAGAAGTGAGTTTTAATTGTTTCTTTTAATGATAAACTCACCCAGGATTATTTGTATTTCTATATGAAAAATTAAGATAAAATCTGTATAGAAAGATTATTTATGTATATCTAAATATCACTAACAGCACTTTTTACCTCCCTCTTTATCCGCACTCTAAAGAACGACAGCACTGAAAAAGGAAAGTAAACAAACTGCCTGAAATAATGATGTATTGTGTATTAAATGATATTCAGTTGTCAGTGTGTGGAAATGAATGCAGTGTCTTCCTCTTTTTGTCTGCATGTTGGTGAGTGGATTAAAAATTTCTCCACTGGTTAATGGCTGTGCTGGAACATAAGATGAGATAAACACTGTTTTGATATAGAGTTTCTACTTCATATTAAAATAAATGTAATTACTAAGTGAAAAAAGGTATTAATCAGTGGTGGACAAAGTACACAAACCATGTACTTGAGTTAAAGTAGAGATACCCAAGGTAAAATATTACTCCAGTAAAAGTAGAAGTCCCTCCCTTTAGACCTCCACTTGAGTGAAAGTACAAAAGTATTTGCCTTCAAATGTACTTAATTGTAACTCTAAGATTAATTATGACTCTAATGTCCTATTACTGTTTTGTAACAAGACTCTTGCTACATTAACTCATTTTAAGTGAAAATACTCCAGTGTCACTTTTGGTAAACCAGTCTTTTAATAGAATGTCATTAATTAGTCTGACACTGATGTCTATTAAAATTATCATAAGCACAAAACACTGAAGACAAACAGTTTCCATTAGGTAGAACTGAGTGGCTCTGAAATAACTTTTTACAAACAAGCAAAGTTTCTGTTTAAGATTTATTTGCAACTTAATTTAAATAAAAATTAGTTTAAATCTAAACAAGTTCAATAAAAACCTGCTTTAAACACAGGATCACAAATGAGTTTTCCTTTACTATATTGCATCTGTAGGTCTCTGTTCATAAACATAAACTAGCAAAAACAAATTTACTATAAAATGAAATAGTGTTTGTATAAATTCAGAAAAAAGACACATCAGTCACAACTGCATATGTGTACATATTTCTTTATCGTGGTCTGTTTACACAAAGTTAGGTTAGAGTCAGGAGTTTCTTCCATCCTTTTTGTTGGCATTGGCATCCCAAACTTTTTAAGCTGCTGCACTGACGTTGAACCGTGTGCTTGTACTGGGTCGGTATGTCCAACAGGTCAAAACAAGCTCAAAACTAAGTGTGTGCTGTGCCCTGATTGGTGTTTTTGCTTCACGCTTCTTTTGTTTTGACATGTTACGTTTTTATACACACATAAGCCAAAAAGAACGACAGATTTCTCATAATGTAGTGGAGTAAAAAGTAAGATATTTGACTTTGAAATGTAGTGGAGTGAAAGTAAAAAGTCACCCAAAATGGAAATACTTCAGTAAAGTACAGATACACGAAAAAACTACTTAAGTACAGTAACGAATTAAATTTACTTAGTTACTGTCCACCTCTGGTATTAATACACTGAGGCCAAAGGAATAATATGGGTTTCACTGCACTCACAGCTCTTTCAGTGCGATTTTGGAGATCATCCAGTGTTGTGGAACCAATGACGAACACTCTGAGCTGTTGAAGATTCTCTGCCAACGAAAATCATGCTGCATAGTTATGAGGGATTCACTGTTATTGAAGTGGAGAACGCAAAACGCTTTCTGCTCAGGGGTCTCCATCTCCTTGCAGACTGAAGGGAGCCATCTTCCAGTGACAGTCAGAAACTCTATGACCCCCTCTTTCAATTGGTATATGATTAGTTGCAATACGTAATATTTTAATACTTTACACAACAAAACTCTTCAAAAATCACAGTAGAATCATAACACGACTCAAATATCATGATAATATGATATTGTGGGGCTCTAGTAATTCTCACTGCTATTAATATGTTTGTTAATATATAATTATATATATTGACCAAAATAAAGAACAGTATCTGGTAAAGAATGTTAGATGACTGACAGAGCTAACTTAGAGACTGGAATTTAGCTAATTATCTGCTAATTAAACTAATATCTAATGACTATCTGCTAATAAAACAGTGTGATGGGTAAATCAATCTGTTTGTTTGTCTAAAAAGCACTAACAGACCCTCTCAGCACAGATTTCTCTTTTTATCCTTCTCTTTCTACCTGCATTCGTCTGTGTGATGGAGCAGCACTGCAGTTAACAGTGAGACCTGCGGAGGGACACTTTGATGACTGTCCACACGGACTGGTTAGCTTTATTAGCACTATTAGCTAAAGCTAATCTCACTGCATCAGTTTTAGTGCAGTGACTATGAGAGAATATTGTGTTGTTAAAGTGATTTGACATGTTGTTACTTTATCATGTTCTGTTTCATTTCTATACAGATAAACATTATCTGTTCAGTTGTTTATCTCCCTCTTTACTCTTTAGTCCACACTGTGAAGAACAACAACACAAAAGAGGAGCCCATCCTCCTCTGGTCGACACCGGATCTCCAGATTTGATTACTGGATCTCATTAAGGATTCATGTTCTAAATAACTATCAGTCGTCTACAGCTTCTCCAGCATTATAGAGTCATTTACTGCTCTGTCCATCATTTAGACACACAGACACAAAATTCACAATATGAATTAGTATAAAATTATATTTCAAATGTATTTTTACAGCTACAAAGAATTTGCAACAAATGTGGTTCTTATATAAACAAGGACACACAGTGTCATTAATGCAAAGCATCACTCTTATAAAGAGCAGCAAGGAGACTATAGATCCAATGTGAGACCTGGAAAAACACAGAAAGAGTGATGAGACACTGCAAATGGAAATATCTTCAAAATACACTTTACAAATATCCAGATCTTCTGTTACAAAATATAAAACCCAAAAACAGAAAGTAAATTGAAATGAACTTTACCCTTCCTCACCTCACGACACAAAAATGCACAAGAACTTATCATGTTCCTGATTATTTGAATAGACTGTCTATAGATGTTGAAATTGTTAAACTATCTGGTGAAACGCAGTAGATTTATAACAGTGTTGGGATTAGAATGAGGATGTAGTTGCTAATTAGTTGAATGTCTGTAAAGGCAATGTAAGCATCTACAAAGTATAAGCAGTGGGCTGTCCACATAATGTGTTACCTCTTAATAATAATAACAGTAATAATCATAACAATAACGAAAATAAAAAGTAAAAAAAATCCACGCTCTTCACTGTCATGACCTCTGAGGATGTTTATGAACGGACTCTCCACTGATGTCCACTTCAATGAGAGGAGTGAAGCTTCTCAGCGTTGGTGAGCTGAAACTCTCTCAGAGCAGGACAGCGGAGTGTCTCCCACAGGCGCTGCTTCAACATCTGAAACTTATACAACAAACAGACATAAACAAAAAAGTGGCTTCCAACATAAATAACTAAAGGAGACTAATTGTAATAGAGCTCAATGTGGTCAATTAGACCATTCTGATTAGACAACTGTTTTAATGAACTTAAATATAAAACTGAAAACATTTTAAAAAATAATACTCAGTTCCAAGTATTATTAACAACATACCTATGTTTAAAAACACTGATTTAGGTTTCTTCTCTGGTAGTGATGTAAACTTAGAGTCTCCACAGTGAGACCCAGAAACAGATTCATTTATTCAGACTCAGCAAAAGAATCTTTAAAGGCTTTTATACATCAAGTATGATTAATCTTTGCAGTTTATTCAGAGTGTATAAATGTATTAAATTGTGTTTTAACTGCTGAAGCTTTGAACACTAAATGAAATGATTTCTGTTTGTTTATTTGGGTTCAACCATCTTCATATTAGAGTCTATATGGTTTATTCTACTGAACTGGTTCAATGTCAGAGTTGAAAACACATTTCTGACTTTTAACTGACCTGGAATTCAGACTAAAATGTTTAGTCTCTGAGTGACCCCAACAAATGTTTATGTTTTGGTGGTGACAGTTTTAGCTGATTCTGAGCATAACTCAAAAACGCCAGCCATTACATGACCAGCAAACATAGCTTTGAACAGTTGTGCACATAAAATCACAATATTTTTCACTGAAACACAAAAACGTTTTCTTTATTGCAGAACTGTGTTTCAGTAATGGCAGTTCTTATGGTTACAAACAGATTTTCAGATTTATGAAACATTTAATTCAAAACAATGGGATCTAATTGCTCATGTGGCCATGAAGGGACAGGGATGCAGCCTCACTTCCTGCTCTAAAATGCAGGGGTGTGGCTAAAATAAGTCTCTGCCTATGAACTATAGACTAAAACTCTGACATGAACATGAAAGAAATCAATAAGTAAAGTTCTTTATTGAAAAATTAAACCCAGCATAAATCTAAACCTTTCAACGTCACTTTAAAAGAAATCAGTTGTCTGTATTCTAATGCTGAGGGGTTCTGCTCCAGCTTCAACATATGAAGAGTTGGGATGAGAATGGGTCACAACTGATGGTAATTCAGGTGAGAAGATTTTGGCAGTTCAAATAAAAACTGAACTGATTTTTTCTCATTGAGCCTCGAGTTCCTGTGAATCTGAGTTTAATAGAAATAATGTTGCTAAACACAGACAAGAAGAGAGAGAGAAAGAAGCAGCTACAGAGCAAAATCACACTCTTTCTGCCCGAAACTGTACAAACCTATAGCCTGTGTATTTGAGACCTGCAGCTTTTCTAAGAGAGAGGAGAGAGAACTGATTTACTTCAACACCTCTGAAGGAAAACTGTGTACATTTTCACTGAACTGTTTAATATGTAGGTTGGAACTTCTCAGACCTGATTTCCAAACCAGACAGAGAACAGTTCTTTTTATGAGGAGTGAACTGTAAAGCTATCATTGCTCAGCCAGCACTACTTTCTACTAATTTCTATTTACAAGAGAGACACTGACTTATTCAGTTATTTTCTTTATTGTTTTTATTTTGCTGTATTGCTGAAATGCGCCGCCTTTCGTCCAGTGTGAGGTCATTTCTGGAGTCTCTGGAGATTTTTATCTGTACAGTTAAAAGGAGACACAATCTCATTAATAACAATATAACTTCATATTAACATCATAGACTGTTCTGCTCATTTCTTTATGGGTCACTTCCTTGTTCTTGTTCTTACCTGCTCTTTGTGATGATGTCTTTAATAGATGTTTTGTCTCTTGGTGCCACAAATTTCTCCACCATCTTCATACAGTCTTTATGGCTGCCCAGAAATCTCAGAGTATTGCGTGCATGGAGTCTGTGGAGGAAGAATGATAAAAATGGTTTTCAGTGCTGGTGGATAATGAAACATGTTCATGGGGGACAGTACTGACCCGGGGGGCGTAAAAATCAGGAGAGCTGCATACCTCACGTCCTGTGCAGAGTCTAGGGCCAGTTTGCTGATGGCGGTCAGGAACCTGCAGGTGAAGTCCTTTTTGCCGTTCAGCAGGCGTGAAGCTCCCAGCAAACACGCGAGCTTCTCCAGATGCTGCGCAGTGCATCTTCTCACAGCGGCGTTTCGGTGGCTGGAGAGTGAAGAGTGAACACACAGTGAGAGACACAGCCAGAGTTTACATACAGGAGAAATCTAGACTCACATTTTATGAAGATGTTATTAATGAATTAATGAAAATCAGAGTATGAATAGTCTCAGTGATGCATCAGTGCAGCTGAGAAAACAGTTTTAGTGGTGCTTTGGAAAAACTTTAGGTAACACAAATTTAATGTACTATATATTGATTAAAAAAGCTAGTAGTTTAGTTCCCATTTGTACGGCTGCCTGACAACTGTCTGCTGTAATATTTACACTGACTGCATGTCATTTTTACTAAAATTGTCTTTTTCTATTTTAGTTTACAGTTTAATCCTAATTATAAATGTGTAATGTGATGTTTACCTGAATCCACCAGTCAGTAGAGCATGCAGGACCCGGCCAGGTGAGCAGTTCTGCACCATCATGCTGAGGGCCACCTCCACATCCTCTCTGATGAACTGGCTGGACTCCCCAGCCTTGTGCAGCAGGACACAGGCAGTGCTCTCCACCTCCTGGTCCATTTTCCTCTGTAGGTGGACACACAGGTGGGCCAGAGTAGTCATGGCAGCACGAGACACCATGGAGCGCAGGTTCTTCACCTGAGACAGTGAACACAAAAGAAGCACATTGAGTCTCTGTCTGTAGTTCAGTCACTGACTTTTGTCTTAGAACATGAGTGACTATGACTGTGTGTAATGAAATGAAAACTCTATGAAGAAAGAAATCTTTTAGGTTTTTGTTTACTAACTGAATCTTTTCAGTACAGATGGAAAATGTAAAGCTGCTGTTTGGAGTCTTTTCACAGAGCACTCAGTTATCAGTACAGAGGCTTTTGTACAAGCTTGTGTTTGAAGTGTGTGTCTGACCTCCTGGATGACGTTCAGGCAGATATCGTGGAGCTCAGGCAGCAGGACTTCAGCGTGGTGCTCTGCCAGAGCACGCACCAGTTTCAGCCCCTCTATCTTCCTCTCCCTGTTTCAAAAGAAAGACATTAGAATGAGATGAACATCACAGTAAACATGATAAAGACTGATTCAGCCAGTATGTTAAACATTTAACACAGGAGCAGAACTAGCTGTGGATAATGGACATTTTCAGTGGAAACATTTGAAGATTCTGATCATTAGGATAATCAGTCAGTAATTGTTGTGTGTATATTCCACAGTATTTAAACTGTAGAATCTCTGGTATCATCAGTTATTATAACTCTAGTCTGAACACTATCCTAAAACACATCACTGCTCCATTAGAATCTGATCTTCATTCTGTCTGCACACTGTAAGTTTGGTGTTTCTACTCTGGTTCACTAAAGTCATACCATTCCTCATCCTGCAGCAGTTTAAACGTCTGTCTGAGAGCCAGTTCAGGATTTTTCAGAGGCTGTTCACTGATCAGGGCTGGAGTCTCCACTGTCTCTGCTCTTCCCTGACTAACTTCTACAGCCTTTGGAGCAGCTCTGCTGTCTACAGGCTCCACATGACCTCCTGAATTCCTCCTCTGCCTAACTGGGCCTCTCAGTCTGGGTATTTTGCTGCCTACAATTATTAAAACATTGTTTTATTAGTCATAGCGTCTCAGCCCTTTGCTCTCATTCTCACACAGAGCTGCTTATTTATAAGTGCCAAAGTTCTGTTTTATATATCATAGCTATTTTAATTTCCAGTAAAAATCCTTTCTATTCATGAACTGTATGGAGTTCATTGTGATGCTGTTCACTCCTGCTCTAAGTATTCTAAGACTATTTTTCAATATTGGAACTTACCTGGTGCAATGCAGGCCTTCTTCCCAAGCTTGGCCAGCATGTGCAGACTCTTTGGTCTTGGCAGTCTGCTGGGTTTGGCAGCAGCAGGTGGAGGGACAGGTGTTCGGAGAACTGTATCAGCTTCCTCTGGTCTCCTGCTCTGCCTAACTAGGCCTCTCCATCTGGGTATTTTGCTCCCTACAATCATTTGTACATCATTAGTTTGAACAGTCACAACACTTGACTGTGTTCTCAGTCCTGTTCATTAAAATTACAAACACAGGATGTTTAGTTACATTCCTTATTAAATATGTAATTTTGTTTCAGGTATAAATGTTAGCTGAGTTAGCATTAGCTGTTTGTGGAAGTTTAAATTTCTTAAATCTGAGACCAACTTTGTAAGCTTCCTTTCTATTTATAAATGCCATTGTAAATACAAAGTTGATATGACTTTGTTGGGATGCTGCATATGAACCCTGTGTTTTCCACTCCTGCTCTACATACCAACAAATAAACAAACAAAGACTTTTAAACTAAACTAAATTAAGTACTTGAACTTACCAGGTGCAATGTAGGCCTTGTTGCCTTTCTTGGCCAGCATGTGCAGACTCCTCGGTCTGGGCAACCTGCTGGGTTTAGGTGCAGGTGGAGGGACAGGTGTGCAGATAGAAGAAAACACACAGAGGTCCTTCAGATTGCACCAATCCACAGGTGAGTATGTTTTCATTGACCTGCACATCTCCAAAGGGCTCAGAGAGCAGAGGCAGCCTCCCTCCATCTTGGATGGGCTATTTAGCGCACTCCCTCTGCAGCTCCTGGACGTTGCGTTCCAAGCTGCCATGGAGCGCAGGTTCTTCACCTGAGACAGTGAACACAAAAGAAGCGAAATCTTTCTCAGGATTTTGGTTACAAACAGAACCTTTTCAGGACAGATAGAAAATGTGGAGTCTTTTCACAGAGTTAGTTATCAGTACAGAAGCATTTGTACAGAGTGAGTATGAAAAGTGTGTCTGACCTCCTGGATGACGGTCAGGCAGACATCATCTATCTCAGACAGCAGGACTTTAGGGTGGTGCTCTGCCAGAGCATGCACCAGTTCCAGCCCCTCTATCTTCCTCTCCCTGTTTCAAAAGAAAGACATTAGAATGAGATGAACATTACAGTAAACGTGATAAAGACTGATTCAGCCAGTATGTTAAACATTTAACACAGGAGCAGCACTAGCTGTGGATAATGGACATTTTCAGTGGAAACATTTGAAGATTCTGATCATTAGAAACTTCAGACAGTAATTTTTGTTTGTATTTACACAATATTTAAGCTGTATATTATCAGCCATTATAACTCTAGTCTGAACACTATCCTGAAACACATCACTGCTCCATTAGAATCTGATCTTCATTCTGTCTGTACACTGTGAGTTTGGTGTTTCTACTCTGGTTCACTAAAGTCATACCATTCCTCATCCTGCAGCAGTTTAAATGCCTGTCTGACAGCAAGTTCAGCAGCCTTTGGAGCAGCTCTTTTTGACTTCAGGCTCCACCTGGGCTTCAGTTTCCCTCCTCTGATGAAACAGAGCCACTTTTGGCGCAGTGCTGTTCTCTGCAGGCTCCACTTCAGCTTCCTCTGATCTCCTCCTCTCTCTAACTAGGCCTCTCCATCTGGGTATCTTGCTCCCTACAATTATTTATACATCATTTATTAACATTTGTATATCATCTGTTTGTTAACAGTCACAGTACTTAAAGTCTTCTCAGTCCTGTTCATAAAAATCATGAAAACAGGATTTTTAGTTTAGTTTAGTTACGTTTCTTATTAAATATTTTATTTTTGCTTCAAGTAGAAATGTTAGCTGAGGTAGCACTAGCTGTTGGGTGAACGATTTAATCTTTCCTTTCTACATATATAATCCATTCTATATATATGAGGTTTACAGAACTTTGCTGGATGCTGCATATGAACCATGTGTTCCCTCCTGCTCTAAATATTAACTACTTCTAAGTATTTTCTACTAAACTAAGACAAATTCTTTAAATATTTGAACTTACCAGGTGCAAAGTAGGCCTTGTTCCCTTTCTTGGCCAGCATGTGCAGATTCCTCGGTCTGGGCAACCTGCTGGGCTTGGCAAAAGCTGGATGTTCAGGTGTGCAGAGCTCTGGGGAGGGGTCTTCTGGCCTGAAGGGGGAGCAATCCTGCTCAACAGCCATCTTCAAGCCCCGAACCCTGCGGTGGGGCCTTTCCCTTTTCCGGGGCTCGTCCGAAGGTGGAAAAGGCTTCATATACGGTGGGTCCACATCAGAGCCAGACAGGCTCTCCAGGCTGCTGCACGCCTTTTTCTCTCTTAAGCGTTTCAGCAGAATGTGGCCCAAACCACCTCTTTTCATCTGGGGCTCCAGACAGATGTCATTTGACCTGTGGAAACTCCTGGTAGACTGGTGGTGCAGTGCATTATGGGTTGAGGGGTGATCACGATCCTGGATTGAGCTGCGGATCCGTCTGAGGATGACCTCCTGGGTCTGCTCATATTTGTCGTTCATTTCCCTCAACATACGACCACGACCCTCCAGAAACTCCTGCCTCTCTCGCTCCATCCTATCCAGACAGGAGGGATCAGGGATAATGGGGCTCTTCCGAATGGAATCCTGGAAAAAAGAACAGGGAACACATGTTCTACTGGTTAGTCTACACACCAGGGTAAGTTAGGATATGTGATGTTATGTGTTATCATGATACTTTAAGACAATTTCTCGATACACAATATGCACAAAAAATAATATGTTTGAGCAGGTAAACAAGAATCAGTAGAGCCACATTTAATACATATTACTATCACATATAGCAATATACACACTATTCTTGTTCTCTGTTTCTCTGCAGTGCACTGAATCCAGTTAAACTGGACTGATTTTGCTCTCTTTGTAATGAAATATGTAGTTGTTCAGTGTCTATAAGCACTGATGATCCACAATATTCTCAGAGAACCATATTGTAATTTATCATAATAATGATATATATTGCCAACCTCTACTGTATAGATTTCATTTTAATTTTATTAAATAATCAGAATAAATGCTTTTATATTTGTTTATAAATGTTTTCTTTATACTTTAATCTCTATGTGGAACCCAGTTTACAGCATTTACTGTAACTTATTTAGAGATGAACAGTTTTTAACTGTACCACATTCATTTGTCACAGATCTGTAGTGCATATAGACCTGAGATTTGATCAGAATATCAATAAAGAACATGCTTTAGATTTAAGAGTAGATTAATAAGTGTAAGTTCTTTTAAATACCGCTGTCGTCCAGCTGTTCTTCTTCTGTGAATCTTCTCTCCTCATCTCTGCAGTCAGTTCTTACAGTTCATAATAATCATCTGAGATAATCGTTCCTCCACAGTCTCATCACATCGAATGATTAGAATGTTAAAAGACGGTCTTTATGTCGGGCAATGTGACATCATCAGTGGGCGTGTCTCTATTATTGCATCATCGCCCGGAGAGAGGTCCTCTACCAAAACTACCGTCTCTACACTAAAACCACGATGACGTCATACATGTATGTGAAGGACTGAGAATCTATTAAACAGTAAAATGTGTTAAAGAGCTTAAATAAATGTGAAATATTAGAAGAGGAACAACAGATCAGCTCTCACTGATGCACTGATTCTAAAGACTACAGTGAGAATCTGTCAGTTCATGAAAACTATGATCAGTTTAATCTGATGATTCACTTCATTATAATAAACTAGAACTGAACACGAATCACAGAGAAGAAGAAACATTTGAATGTGAATGTTGTTTATTATTTATTGATCAGTTACATTATTCTGTTCTATAAATGAATGAAGTAATGATTTTAAAGGGCTGTTGAGGTGATTGACAGTGTGAACACAGACAGTTCCTGTTACTTTAAAGTCAATCAGAAATCATAACGCATTTCCTTCAGTACTGTAACATATTTCTGAGTGAAACTCGGGATCAGGGAGGGTCTCTGAACCAGCTGAGACTCACTGGATGATAGGTGGGCGTGGTGGGAGGGGGAGGTGTAACAAGATATGATTGGTTAATATTATTTTCTCCGCCCACTGATGACATCATCAAAACTTGGAAGACGTTACATTTTGATGGAAGATGACAGAAAATAAGAACTGTGTGTTTCTAATTATGAATCATCATTAATATGATCAGAGACTCAAACTAACAAGGTAAAAACATCAGTTTTGATTTGAGGTTGACTTTAAGCTCAGAGCTCAGACACTTCAGATTAACAGCTTTTACAGTTTGACAGTGTTGATAACTTTGAGTGTTGATTTAGTTTCTCAGTCTGAAGTGAAGTTCATGTTTTGTTCTGCAGTAAAACTGTTCGAACAGACCCTCAATGGAAGTTCTCTATATATTGTGGATAAATTCACCAAATTTGGATGCGTTTGTAAGGAAAAGTGAATAAAAGTCAGAACCAAAATGTAAAAAATGCAGCCACTTTTATAACTTAGAGAAGTCAGATAACGAGCTCTGCTACACTGTCGCTGCTAATCTGAGCCGTTACGATGAGCAGCTGAGCTCTTAACGCTGAAACACTAAATATTCTCTAACTGAACTGACCGTCGGTAGCACAGACTGTGTGGAAGAGTCTGTGGTCGCCAGCGTCCGTCTGGGTCGCAGCATCGACTCTCCGCTGCTGGTCCGGGACTCGCCACCTGGAGAAGAGGACGTTACAGCTGCGGCTGAAAGGCCAGCGGCACAAAGCACCACTGGCCGCAGCCGGAAGCCGAAGAAAGAGAGAGGAAAGTCCATCTGTGAACCGGGATTGATCCGGTAGTTCGCTTGGAAGTCGCAGCACAAGAGAAAGCAGCTCTGTGTGGTGTCGCTAAACGACTGAGCGGTTTTAGAGTCTCAGCTCTGTTAAAGTTCCACAGAACGTTTTTTCTCCTTCACAACCACATTTACTCCACAACACATGCAGCGGTGTTTGAATCGGAGAATTCACTGTACGTCACACTGAAAAGGGACACATCATGGAAAACTGAATTTTCCTTCTGTTCAATGTTCTTAACACACTGTTCACTCCACAGTCTCTTCAGCCCAGTTTTAATTCATTGTTTCTGTCACAAAAAGCAACACACATTTTTATATACCCACCAATTCAGCCTACAGCAGTTCAGCTACACTGAAGTTATAAGGAATGTTGCAGCCCGGACTGCTTTTTGGAGGCACAATAGAGAGCAGCCAATCAGAAAACAATCAATAAAAAGGCAATAAATATAAAAAAAGATCAATAAATCTTTATTATTAAATATTCAGGGAAGACCCTGTTTATTCTACACTCTGCACGTATTACAGCAGCACGGCTTCGTAGTAACAGAGTCCAGATGCTGAACCGGCCTGCCTGCAGTCCAGACCATCACCCGTTGAAGACATTTGGCACATTATGAAATGAAAAATATGACAAAGGAGACCCCCGAACTATTCAGCAGCTGAAATCCTATATTAAACAAGAATGGAAACATTTCACTTTAAAAATACAGCAATTGGTCTCTTCACTTCCCAAACGCTTACAGAGTGTTGTTAATAGAGGAGGTGATGCAGTACAGTGGTAAACCTGCACCTGTCCCTACTTTTAAATATGTTGCCGGCGTCAAATTCAAAATAGGAACATATATTTTTAAAAAACAAACTTTCTCAGTTTTAATATTTAGCATGTGTTGTTTGTATCGTTTTTAATTAAATATATGGTTTAAATGATTTATATATCGTTGGATTCTGTTTATTTACATTTTGCACAGTATCCTAACTTTTTTGGAAATGGTTTTAACCTGAATGGAATTTTTTACAACAGTAGACTTTTGCAGTGAGAACATTTCGCAGTCACAGGTTGCGCTAAAGACAATTTCACTGTTTTTCAGTACAAATGGCAAATAGCCTGGCCTGTTACATTAGCTTTAAGAGACAACCTCTAATATCTGAATTTAACATGAATATGAAGTAGTTCTAACGTCTAATTCAAGGTTCATATGTCATATGCAGCGCAGGACATGTAGAAAATATTGAACCTGAAAAGATGATTCACTTTGCTTTTAATGAATCCAAGAACTTCTACACTGTTTCTGTCCAACCCAGAAAATACATTCATATAGAACTTAATTGCTCCTGATAAACATTGCAGATCAGAGTTCTGTTATATCAATACGATGCATGTCAGCGTATCAGACTTTTTAGCCACAATCTGCCGCAACACACCGCGTACACGTTACGTCACTATTACCATGATCAACATTTCGGGAGCATGTTTTACTATGGATTAGTAACAGATTTCAGAATTGATCTTTATGCTGACATTTCCAATTCTAACAATATCAGATGTACAAGATAAATGTAAGAACTTATCAGATACACATTTTAAAAGGTAAGGAAAATGCAGGGATGGGGGAGCAGCTAAGTAGCGCGCTACTTTTTGTAGTTAGCTACAAATGTTTGTAGCTAATAGCTGTAGCTGCTACAGTTTTATGAAATGTGGCTAAGAGCTGTAGCGCCTACAAAAATTTGTGTAGCCACAGTGAAAATTTTCCCTACAATTTTGCGACAGGCTTCAGGCAACCTGCGCAAAATGTGAACCGCAGAACGCGGTCGTTAACCAGGCTGGTGGCGACTGTGCAATCCTGACTGTGCCGTGGACAGTTCGAGCAAACGGTCACACGCTGATCACCCCTTACTAGTCGGCTTAACTCAGGGGTCGCAACTGAAATGTTAAGAAGAGCCATTTTGTCCTTTCAACAACAATGAAACCACCTTGGGAGCCACAACATTTTTTGTCCGCTTTACTATCTTGTCTGTAAATGTATCTCAGTTTGTGCTGATAGTTCAGGTTAAAAATTAAAAACACACAAACTCAGACTTACTCTGCTCTGCTTCAAGCTTTAGCTCAGCTGTAGCCGCTTTTCTCGCATCTCAGGAAACTTCGAGTTTCTTGTAAAATGTCTCTCGATGTTCGACTTTTTACGAGGCTGAAGTCGCTTCTCATTCTGCTGCTTCTCGTTTGAATTGTCCCATCCCACCTTAAATGTTGCCTGAGGTGCCAGGTTGTACTGCTGCGCCATTTAAGGTGGAACGAGAGAATAACTAAAAAGCGTTAACTGAAGCGTTTAAGACCGTTTATAGTGAAAACTGTTAGAACCGTGTGTTATAATGATTTTACAGTAAAGGAGGATCATGTTATGTTATTTTAGCTAAATATCTAGTTCTGCTGTGGAGCCGCAGCAGCTCTGCAGCAGTGGAGAGATTATTCAGGCCTGATTCTCACCCCAAACAGAGTCAGAGTCACTGATGAGGATTTTGAGGCTGAAGTGTTGTTGAAGTTTAATAAAGGACTCTGAATGTCATGACTGTACAGATCCTGCTGAAATGTTTAAATTGGAGCAGTTTTATTTCAACAGTTGACAATGTTTTGCACAAAGTTGTTTGGTTTGTATTCAGTTATGTTTGTTGATTTTTGTTAGGAAAAACCTGGAATGATTGACTTTGCCTTTACTTAGTCTTAATGTTTTTTTGGATATCACACCTTTGGTTGTGTAAGTTTGATTGTTGGTTACACTTAAACTCAGTTTTTGGTGATTTTTTTGTGCATTTGCAGCTTTTCAATTGTATGTTTCTATCTGGCTCATGATTTAATGCAGTGTCTTGTTCACACTTTCAGTTGGGCTTGTTTGGTGCGTCAGGCGGAGATTCACAAATGGGTCATTCTACAGAAACGTCCATGTTTGTTTCCCTAGTGTTTATAGATATATTACATTTAAAAAAAATATAGTGTTACAATTTATTTATATTTTAAAATAAAATTTAAGTTTTACACCTTCTTGAGCATCAAGTTAGCAATATTGGATTTTAAATCAGTTATATAAAATTCCAAGCACCACATAAGAGCTCATCCTCAGTCATGTATAAAGGGTTAGTGCCATATTTAAGAAAAAAAAACAAAAACAACATGTTTTTCTGCAATTTTAACTACAATAATCTATACATGACTATGGAATATCTAAATTAAATGGCATAAAGAAAATAAATGCCAAATAAACATTATAAAATATATAATGAAAGTTGTGGTCCCCAAGAGTCGTGTCACTGGTGTTACTGCATAACAAAAAACCTCTTATTTTGAAGAAAAATCAGACTGATGACATCAATTGGCTTCTTTTACCTATTTTCTGAGTATCTATGAAGAAAAGCACATGGTGAGTCCACTGTGTCTTTTCAGTTATCAGAAATTCTCATTTAGCTCATGATTTCATATGAAGCTTTTAGTTTAAGTCACTGGTGTGACCGACTTTTTTCTTAGGTAGTTGTGAAAAAATGAAATACAAATTGATTAAATTGTATATTTTAGTGGATATTTCATTATTGACAACATATGGTTTGATGCTCTGTAGCAGACATTTTGTAAAATGCATTTTTCATTAAAAATGTCTCAGGTGTTACCTTTATGTGTAACACCAATGAGGATTGGTGACACCAGTAAACACCTACGGAGAGATAGAAAAGTGGACGTTTCTGTAGAATGACCCAAACATTCTGACAATCGCGCTTTGAAAGGCTAAAAAAATAGCCACTACTTTTTCTGGAAAAGTAGCTAAATTGTAGCTGCTACAAATTTTGGGAAAGTAGCTACAAAGTAGCTCCTAATTGTTCAGTAGCTATCCCAACCCTGATTAATACGAGAGAATACATCGATGTAGTACAGGGTTTTGTACGCGTGAACCATCACAACCACCAACAGCAGCATCAAAATGAAACCTGTCGAGGTGAACGAGACAAATTCCGTCAAATTTTTTAAAACCTTGTACGGGTTGTTTCCTTCAAGAGCAAGGAAACTAAGCTTTAAGGTTGGTGACACTGTCAGAATTTCACGTTTAAAAAGGCAGTTTGAAAAAGGATACGAGCAAAACTATACGGATGAATATTTTACAATATGTGAACAGAGACCGAGAGAGCCTCCGGTATATAAACTGCAAGA